TTTATTGCATGGTTTTTTTATTAATATTTTTAATAACCATTCAGATCTCTTGGAATGTGCATATTTTATGTGTAGTGATAAGACGCTAACTTGTCCCTAATAGATTAAAAGTAATAGATTAAAAGTCCAGTGGCGTTCCCTGGCAAAATTTTGCGATTTTTTTCACCAAAACAATTTACGCCAATGAATAGATAATTTTATTTCACCAAGTTTTACGTATGGTGTTAGTGTGAAGCAGATGTGTAAATTGTCACCTTCAAACTTTTTTGTTAAGACTCCACCTTAATGTCCACAAATCTGATAAATTTGCATCGTCAAATTAATAAAAATGATATGAAAACTATGCATTTCGGGAACCAAACGAAAAAATTCTCATTCTCATATTCTGTCATGAACGTTATTTTCAGACACCCTGTATATTGAAACCGTCCACATATATCATGACAAACTATTGTTGATTAATTATTATTAATTAAAAAAATGTCGTTAACCATAGTTAAGGCAAACCATAGAAATCGGCTGGTTTTTATTATTTGTTCAATGAAAAAAAGTGCTTCAACTGGTAATTTGCCTGCTCGACGTTCGCGTGACTGGATACCTGGATTTGTACGGTTTGAAATTATAAATTACCTGGAAAATTACGTTTGTCGCACAGCCATCTTTAATACAGGCGAATTGTCAAATGTCTACTTCTATATATATATATATATATATATATATATATATATATATATATATATATATATATATATATATATATATATATATATATATATATATATATATATATATGAGTTTTTTTTGCGAAAAAAATAAATTTAGATTTAACTCAAAATTTTGAAAAGTATCTACATTTGGTAAATGCATGAAAGTGCCCGAATTTGAGAAAAACGCACTTCTCTTAATTACCCATGTATTTCAAATCAAACTTTTTAAGTTAAGTAGCCGGTCTTAAATTCTGATAAGAATTGGTACGCACGGTAATGGAATTCCATTGAATATTAAGTTAAGTCGTAATAAAAAATAAAAAAAAAAGAAATACCTACCATGTGTTATGAAAATATTTAGCTTGGGAATGATCAAATTGAAGAAAATGTGATTTAGATTTTAAAAAATACACATACATATTTATTACAGTTATTTTTCCCTGTCCTAGGACCTCTTGCGCTCAAGGAATCACGATGCTACTTGCATTGCATTATATTTTAAAATTAATATATAATATTTTCGGGATAAAATTTGTTATAATATGTCGTTTTTATTTTTGCTAATGACACATGGTAACTATTTTTTTCTACTCTCTTCTGTAAACTACCTAATTATACACTGATCGAGCCAGTTCGGACATTTCCGTTATATTACCGCACGAGTTTGGGAGCAATCGGATGTTTTCGGAGATTTTACCGCACGGCGGGAATTTATGAATTTGTCAATTCTGGCGATCATGTCAGCGAAAGTATTCGTACTATTTGCAAAAATGTACCCAAAAACCAAAGTTCCAGAAAAAGTATAGTATGCAACATTTTTGGTAAAGTTTTTAAGTCACTCGCAACTCGTGACTCAAGTGCCGTTTGCCGCACTTGTTGCATAATATAGCATTTATATTGACATATTTGTTAAATCACAGCGTATACTTGATTGTATAACTTTTATATTTAATTATAAGTTAGCCATATGGTCTAATAATATTGTTCATGCCAATCAAGCTAATTTTTTTTACAGATATTTATATAGAATTTACTGGAGTGCCTCTTAAGCAAATTAAATACTCTATGCCACGTTGGATTTTCGGATTTTCAGAATTTTAATAATAATAATTCTCAGAAAAACACAAACAGAAAAAGTGAAGCTTGATAATTTCTAAATATCGAATTTATATGAAACTACTTTATTGAATATTGAAATGAGTTGTTAATTGTTAATTTAGTTATTAACTGTTATAATGCCTACAACTATTCGGTATAAATTTACAAAAATATTGACGACAATGTCCAAAAATATCTCCCCAACGCTCATCCGCCAGCAGAATTTCATTCAACAGTTGAGATGTTTATATTCCACGTTGCCATTTTTTATTTGCTATTTATATCTCCAAAAATATTTTTATTAATTCGTTCATTAATTGCACTTTATTAACAGTGTGAGCAATTAGTTGATTGTTAACTATTGGAGTTCCCCTGTTGCAAATAGTTCCGTAAGTAGTTCGTGCATACACGCACCCGATGTCACACCCGCAATTTAGTTTCGAATGCAATAATGTCGTCGTTCGTAAATCTACATTGACATGAGTCATCGCAGAGCTAAAAATATGTCCTATGTATTATTTGTTAAACGCTTGATGACGGATATCCATGCTTATTTTCATAGCGCAAACATTTGTTGACGAGGCTCTCGATATAATAAGCATATCCAAATAAATCTCATATTATCACGGATTAGAGCTTTTAGCGGTTAAGAAATTACTACAGACAGAATACTTTTCGCCCTCTGAAATGTTTTTTATGCACCTGCTTAAAGCAAATTTTAGACGCATAAAAAACTTTGCTTATATTCACAGCTTGACCTGCATTCTGTTTTTATTACTGTTTTTGCTATACTACTTATAGAATCTAAAAATTGCCTTGCCTCTTTCAGCTACTAAGGCACGGGAACTAAATTGCTGTAGCCTGTTTCAAAAAAGTGTATAGAAATATAAAGCAGTATCGAAGAAAGCAGAAGAAAGAATCAAAAATGTCGCAAGACAAAAATATAACCAGCTTTCATGAAAGGCCTGTCAAACCAAAACCAAAACTAAAAAGGATTAAAAAAAAACTAGGAACTTAGAGGACATGAATTTGGATGTTTTTGAAGACTATTTCGGTGAAATGATAAAATGTCTTACGTTTGAGTCGTTAGTGGTTATGGATATATGGATAACGCAAGCTATGATTCACGACGCATAGTGAAGACTCCAATCTCACCAAAAATATTGAATTTGTAAATAATGTAATAAAGAAGAAAACATTACATTCCATTCATTAAGCTACTGTTTGATCAAGCCATGACGAAAAGCAGACCAGCAATTCATTAAACAAGGGAAGAAAATGCCGTTGACCGTTGACCGAAGTAAAAGGTCAAGTGGAAATGAGAGGTTTTTTTGTATAATGTTTGTAACAAATAAAAAGGGGTACATAATGCCCAAATTTTAGTCGGTTGAAATAAAATTCTTTTCTTTTAACCACTCTCTTACGGGCAAGAATTTGGCACAAAATTTTCAGCGGTGGTGAATAATGACCCAGACCCAAGTGATACTACGCGAACTCGATATACAAAACAGACTTGTGCAATGCCAAAAACAATAAAATTGGATTAAGTATTCATTGGGTCACCCTGTAGACCGCTTAAGTACGTGACCAAACTTAGGGAGGTGATTCTTTTAATGATTTAAGACAATAAATTAGTCCGAAATTCATTGTTTTCAACTTATTTAAAAAAAAAATGGTTCTGGCGTTATTAAATGTTAAATGATGCTGCAGCTAAATTTACAAGTAGTACGTGGCTTCGTTTTCAAGACAGAAAAATTAACAGCAAACAGCAAAAACAGACAATTTCTATAAAGAACCCCACCATTTTTATAAAATAGCATTTTACGTTAAATAATATAAACAGTCAACAATTTTCTTTATTTCCGAACCTATTTCATACATCGCGAAGGAATCGCTCCTTAAAACTTTGACAGCGTACTTTTTTAAAACCCTGTGTGCGGTTCGGAGTATACCTGACACAGACTTAACAGATTTAGATTTCAGCAATGTTTTTAACCATGTTGGGCGAAATTCAAAAAAAGTGCCGAACAATAAGAATATTTTATTTTGAGTCATGTTCTTTGTGGAAAACAACATCTAAAAGAAAGATCAATTTTAAGCCATTTTTTAAAACCAGATGCAACTGGCACCTTTTTTGCCGGCCAAGAATCGCGAAACTTTTTAAAAATAAAATTAACTGTTCCTCGGAAACAATATGATGAAAATGGGTTCTCTACCAGAATGTAGGTCGCGACATATTTTGTAATAAAAACTAAAAATACGTTATTAAACTGAAAGAATCTCATTTTCTGTAAAAAAAGCACTATTTACAAAACTTCCGGATTCTTCCTGCGTCGGTTGTTGTTGAATCGGACTTGCTGACGTTTCGGCAATCATCCTGTTGGCTTCTTCAGAGCTTGACTGAAACTGGCTCGTATTTTACTCTGTACCTGCTTATGTATTGTTTGAGGGGGGCGCTAATGAGGGGTATAAACACCGTCTCGGATGACTGATTCCCAAATATTGGGGACTGGTAGAGAAAGACCTGAGTCGCGGTTAAGATTGTTAGGATGTTTATAGATTTCTGTAGAACTGATAACATGCAAGAATTTTAATTTTGACGAATAAAATTTTAAGTCCGGTTTCGTAATTGTGTCCGGCAAATGCTGATGAGTTTATTTGTCGTAGTGTTAAGGCTCTTTCATTTTCTTTGAACCTAGCTGATACTTTTCGTCGGCTCTCTTCAATGTATTCTCCTGGTATCTCAAACGAAATTTTGTCTTTGATGGATCAAAGACGTTGAGAGATTTTTGGACAAGTAGTAAATTTTAATTGGCAAGTGTGGAATTGCTTTTGGACACTTGCCACTGCTGTCTTTCCCTATATTGAGAACATTACTGACTACATATCAAAAGGTTTTAAGAAATATAACGTCAAAATTTGATTTATCACTTGTCCAAAAATCTCTGGACATCTTCGATCCATCACAGATAAAATTCCGTTTGAAATGTCGAGAGTTTACAAGATTTCATTCATATGCGGCAAACGATACAGAAACATCAGCAAGTTCGATTCAACAACAACCAACGCAGGAAGATCCAGAAGCTTTGTGAATAGTATTACAGTAGCCCACGAAAGTTTGAAAAATGTGATATGAAGATGAAAAAAGAAAAAACCAGGTATTTGTTAAAAGTACTTATTATGGCCCTTTTACAGGCAAGCGTACCCAAGAATGCATTTGCGTTGCCATTTGTATCACTCTAATGGCGGTCAATTTCCTCTTTCTGATATTCCATCTGAAGATCGAACGTATCAGCGCGATCGTGTTGGCGGCATTTTGCGGGATCATCACCGCAGATTTCTGTTCGGGGTTCGTGCATTGGGCGGCGGATACGTGGGGCTCCGTGGAATTGCCCATTATTGGAAAGGTAAAATGCCATAAGAAAAGGAAGGAAGAGGGAGAGAGAGAGAGAATGAGAAAAAAGAGAGAATATGCATTAATTCCGTCCTAATTTGTGGTTAGGTTCTGAATGTATCTGAACAAATCTCGCTTGCATTTCAGAAATGTTTTTAAATTGCTAAACATAACAAAAAATACTAATCACGCGCATTATATATGCAAATAATAGTTGTGGCAATTTGAAGGAACTCTACCATTCCTATTTTTAATGTTAAAGGGAATGCGGAGGGCTTTAATAATAATTTATTACATAAAATAATGTAAAAGTCATAAAAGTTAATTAATATTAAAAATTTTTTCAGTGTTATTAAAAGCACGTTTCTATAGATGTGATTATGTTCGAAAATAGTTGATCCATTTTCTTTTTTTCCATACACAAATTAACAGCTAAGCAAAAATGCTGCCTGAGCTGGTTCTATGGTTTTTCTGCCAATTACATGAACAAATAAATTTTTTAATTCCCATTATCTTGTTAGTATTATTCGTTTGCTTCTTATTTTTGGATCCTTCAGGAATCGATAAAATTTACATTTTTATCTGACATTATAGTGAGTGCAACAAGATATCCAACACTGTGCCATGGTCATTTAAGTGGGAACAAAATCTAAAAGTAGATGAGGCATGAAAAATAGTTAAAACATTTAAATACATTGCATTAAAATGAATATGCATTTGGTTAACATGTCAGTATATATATCAACGCAAAAAATATTGTTTTTAAAATTTAAAAAAAAAAAGAAAACACCGCTAAAGTAAAATACCAATTGTAATAAATGAACTGTTTTGTTTTGTTATATATGGCAAACCTCAAATTATGACGTCAGTACTAATGACGCCTATATGTCATACAAGTGGAGATACTTTTAACTTTATATAGAGACAGGTGTATTTTTTTTACTTTTGATTCTACAGAAATCCATAAATAATTTCTCAAAACCACCCATTTTATTTATTATATTCTAGACCTCTCCTCCTAATAACTTTAATTCCTCGATGTCCTCGAATTAGAGAAAAGGGTAATCGCACTAACTAACAAGTGAGGTTATGTCTAATTTTTAGCATTTGTATTAAATAAAACGTGTACTTTTCTCAAAAATTTCCGATGTTGCCAGCTAGTTTCTGCTGCGAATTAGTCACCTTTAGCTGATTATAAAATTACATGAAATTGGCGCATACATGCATTAATACATTTTGGAGTGAAAGAGAGAATTGGAGAGAATCCCACGGGATACAACTAAGTTTTTTTCTGGATGAATAACAGTTATATTATATCATTAATGGTAATTAATCAATTATTATTAGTAATCTAAGTAATGAAGTTGAACAAATAAACATTATCTTTTAAAATTATGGAAAACTCGGCCACATTATGAATTGGAACCTAATTTTTGTCAGCGGGTCGTATATTTTATTTTAATAGTACATTTTTGTTACCTAGCCGCTTATTAACTTGGTCTAATTATCTTCAGGAATACAAATTACCCCACATGTTACGCCCACATTCAACGTAATATACGGAATGTGAGTCATATTCGTGCAAGCAACTTTTTATATTGCCCGATTATTGATTCCCCAACAACAAAACGTGCATTCCGAGGGACCAAAAAATTTTTTTTTATACTTTTGGCTTTTGATTTCCTAAGTTATTATTTCAATCACGACTCTGATAACGACTAACAATATCGAATGTTTCCCTTACTCGATTTTATTTTTATGGGTAGATGTTGGTATATCAATCGATAATGAATTGAAAACCCTTTACGTAAGAGAAAGAATTTATTATGCAACAGGTCTGATATACAAACATTATTATTTATGCATGTGTGTAAAATGATTTCTTTTTGATGAGAGTGAAAAAATTTAAAAATATGGTGCAGTTGAGACCCTTGAGTACTAAAATAAGGTGATAAATTGCATGATTTTGATATGATTTGATTGGTAATGAAAAAGAATTTTGTGAACAGAAGTTGGCATATTGTACGACGCTTAAGTTCAACAAACTTTCTAGCTGTTTTAAGACAAAATTTTTTGAACGGCTCTGATTTCTAGAATTCTAATCTATTTTTTTTCGTAAATAATCCGAATTGTCACAAAATTGAATTGCCCGATTCCCATATCATTTCCAGACATTGGCTTTTCGACCAGCAAACCTACAATTCAATCCTGAATACTTTTTTCCGAGTATCTTTAATCTTATTTCTTAGCAAATTAACGTAAATGCAAGTGCAACAAAATTAAGTGAATGTTGATTAATTTGGATCCAAATCATAAAAATGTTATTACATCGTCTTTCTTACGAATTGCGTCGAAAAATTGGCAAATAACTTATGCTAACAAAATAGGCTATTTTCATATTTTCATTTCTGAGGTTTTATTATCGATATTAATTATAGTTGGAAAGAAAGAAATAATAAATACAAAATATTGCCAAAGAAAGAAATGGCGATTTTTATCGTTACCTAATTTTTTGAAAACATTTTTCAATTTTGCAAGACCGCAAATTACAGTATTTTTTAATCCAACGTTGGCTGGCATTCATTGAATAAAATATAATTTGAAAGAGGGAATTTGCGAAAGTAATAACATTTTCTGTTAAGAAAAAGAGAAAAATGTTTTTTTTTTAATTCTGTGACAATATTAATATAAAATTGTCACTTTTTACACTACTGTACATTTTTAGAGTTCACTTATCACGATTTTGATAAGAAACTAAGTCAGAAAAAATTAATAAAAAACACATATTTTCAAAGTAACTATTTCCGATTTTTGGCTGGGATTTCACTAAATAATTTGATACTATTAATCTATTAAACTTATCCTATATCCTAAGATTATTAAAAGAGTATCTTTACACTACGATGATTAATGCTTTACAGATGCTATTAATTTTATTTATTTATTTATTCTAATGTTGGCACATAACAATGGCAGGAAAACATTCTCGCTGAAATTATTGTAATAAAAAACCAAATATTTCGACGGATCGTAAAGGTCGTTTTAATTTTGTTGGGCAGTGTATATTTGCAACATTCGCCGCGCTGACGAACGAATCAAACTCGGTTAAGTCAGCACCGATAATTACGTGCCCGACGAAAAATTACCCTGTTCGTGTTTACGGTTCCGATAAAAGTTTTCGCATGCGCTGCACCCCGCAACCCCGCTGGCGTCAGCGGTGCGTGACAAAAATGTTATACAAAGTGTTCAAAAGGTAAAATTGCAAAAAAATACTCCAAGAATTTCGCATAAATTATAATAAGGGTTACTCGGTGTGTTTCCTTAGGTATGTCAGCTACAGATAACATTTATTGGAAAATAAAGTTTTTCAAATACTGCAAAAATAGTAAATAAATAAAGTACAGTGTAGGAAAATCATTTGATGTTACTTTTGTTATTAAAATTTAAAATACCCAGCGGAACCACTTTTATCGCCCCTATCGGCATATTTCGCCCCTAAAATAGGGACGGGCTGAGGGAATTTTCATTATATTGGAGCGGAGCCAAGTTGTATCGGTTGGTTATCAGTTTTTAAGCAATGAAGTTTTAGTTAAAATATGATTAAGAGGTAGAGAGTGGTCTATTGAGGATGCTGCTTAACCTTATTTCAATAAATACGACACTGAGGAAAAAACGTTAATTACATAATGTGTTTGACCCTTGACATATATTTTTAGTATATTTTATAGTATTTTTATGGGTCTAGGGTGTTCTGTTGTGCCAGGGCAGCAACCAACTTTTTTTTTTAATGGAATGCTATGAATATTTTTTTAAATTCTGATTATTCGCTTGATTTTGAGTAGTTTTTGAGAAAACTGAACCTTTCTATTTTTTTGCGGAAAACAGGAAAAATATGTTTCCTTACACTTGAAAACTGAATAGCGAAAATGTATTACGGATCCACGGAAGTGGTTAATGTATAATGTTTTGACCTATTTTTGATGAAAATATATTATACAGGGCGGTCACAAATGACTATCAAAAAACTGGTTTCCCTAAAAAAAATTTAGCACTTTTTTTGGCTTTAAGATTTAATTCTGTATCATTTCATATATATAGCTTTTATAGTATCCTATCCTAACTAAGTTTTTTTTATACTTAAATTCAATATAATATCAACAAGTAATCAACTTATTACTAATTACAAAACATTTTCTAACCCCCGTAAACCGCGTCTAATAAAATTGTTGCCTGAGCAGAAATACACACAAAGTTGTCACCAACTATTTTTTTGAAGGAAAAATTGATTTATACAGTGTTCAAGAGCGTTTAGATCTTCATGAATGTTAGGTACATAAGAAATTGACCTAGCAGAGCAATTTGAAGCTCTCCTGTATTTTGAAGAAAACAACGATAATTCGCGAAGGGATACATCGCAACATCTACTGAATATTAATAAGACTAGTGTTTAAAAGACTTTTAAATTTAATAACTACCATCCATTTAAATTTTTGTCAGTTTAGAAATTATCCCAACAGGACTTTCAAACAAGACTTTTTTGTTGTTAATTAATGATGAACCACTACAACTATTTACCGATTAGGCAATTTTCAATACGACCGGTGTAAAAGAAATTAAGAATCAGTTGGAGAACTATATACATATTTATAGTGCGTCATCATAGAGTAGTGCCCTTTCGAGATTGTGAAATCAACGTTTTGCATTTTGGATTGGTCGGTACGGGACCCATTGATTGGCCAGTGAGAAGCCATGACTTGACACCCCTGGGTTTTTTTATGGGGCTGCATAAAAAACGAAGTATATCAAAATAGGTGTAATATTGTTCAAGACTTAAAAATGAGAATTCAGCAAGTGGTAGAAAGACTTAAAGACGCGGTCAGAAATGTTATAGCGAAAATTGAAACCATATATACAACTTGAAGGTCGAGGTTATGTAGAAAATGTTTTGTAATTAGAAATCAATTCTATTTACTTGCACTAGTTGTTGACTGTATATCGAATTTAAGTAATTAA